ATATATATATATATATATATATATATATATATATGCGTGCAATTCGTTTAATATTAATGCCGCGGACGCATTGTTACAGAATTATCCGAGCTCGCGGCGAATATCTAACGCGTGCGCGTAAAATTACGGCTCTGCATAATCCGCAAATCGGGCACGATGTTTCGCATTTAACTGAAATGTTGCTCAACGAGTTCCGGATCCACGCCGTGATGGATCTTTCTCGATAACCGATCCACCAACTCGGTCGCTCGTAATGCGCGAGAACTTTAATCGTTTAATAATTAACGTGTATTTTCACCGTGTACACTCTCTCTCTCTCTCTCTCTCTCCAGACTGTCCAATAATTTGAAATTAATATTGATCATTTCAAACAGCTCGGACGAAACGCCCCGAAAGAGAAATTTACCGTGCCTTATCATCTCACGAACGCAAATTCACGATTTATTTCGTATACACAATATTTTGTACGAAAATCGTACATAATAAAACATTTTGGTGTTAATCACTGTTCGCATGGTAACTGAGAAATTTGCTGTGCCAATAAAATCTATTTCCTTCCGAAATATTTTTCACCATGTCGTAGAACTCGAAACTCGATGCAGCCGCTATCAATCAGAACATAATACTGGAACGTGGTAAATATTAAAGTATACAAACGACATGTGTGCACCTCGCCGTTTGTTTCCAGGCCGATTACGACATCGGTCATCGATAATGAGCCGCGGGATTATAGACGCCGTTTAATCAGCGATCGTTCGTGAACAGTTTTTGCGCGTTACAATGCAAAGCGCGTTGTCGAACAGCGCTCTCGCTGCTTTAACCGTACGGTAAACGAAGGGAAATCATCGAATCGTGGAATGAAACCGGGCGCCGCCGTTAGTAGCGTTATTGCTGGTAATTGATCTCCAAGTACAATCACATTGTTAATCATCGCGGTAATTAATGGAGCGGCAGCGAATCGGTCGGAATACCGTAGAATTAGCAGTCACGGAGTGTATCTTGATGGGATTGACACGCGCGCACGTGGATAAATCTTCACGATAAACTCCCGCATGTCCGACGCGGGGATTATATCCGGTACCTTAAGTCGAAACTTTCAAAGATATTTTGCATCTGCTAGACAGACTAATAAAAACCTCCTCTCTTGAATTCCACAGATTGAATTTTAATGCTACCTATTTTCACGCTAAAACAGAAATTTACGACATCATTAGAGAATCAAAATAGGTATATATTATTAGAATCGAACCTATTTCGCTATCTTAGCTCCTACTATATCGTAGAAGTAAAGGTTTAACAAAATTTGAACTATCGGCTCGAATATTTGGCATTGTTTTGTCGTCGCGAGCGACGAAATTCGATTCCGCGGTGAACGATTACCGCCGGTAAGCGGACCAGGAATAAACGCGAGGGTGGAGATTGGGAATCGCTCGCACAGTGAATCATACCGCGTGATGGCGCTGGGCTTGAAAGGTGGCTCATTCAGCTCGCTCCTTTGCTCGTCGTCTTTCAAACGCGGAATAATACGAAATCCGACTTTGAATGGCGCAGTTTCCAGCTCGCGTTTTTCGATTCCACCAAAATGTCACACTCGAGCCGAGACCTGCCTTTCTCCTTCTTCCGCCGTGGAATTTATTCGTATTTTGTATTGAAACTATTTCGCGGGAGATCCCGGGCGTGATATAAAATCAGAAAGTAGATCTTCGAAGATCGCAGCGGATGCGCGCTGCCAAGAAGGATTAAGAAGAGAGAACGAGAGAGAGCAGGGTGGAAATCGATATCGGGGTCGAGGCTAAATCTGAAAACGCTTTTACGTGTGGCGCATGCGTAAGCATATCGCGAGGGGGGCTTGATTTGGGTTTTCAAGTCAACCGTTCGTAAAAGGAAGCCGACCCTTCGAGGAGAATCATCGCAAAGTCAGAGATCCACGGAAACTATCCTTAACCGGCCGATAAACTCGAGTTTAGCTGGGAGGCAACGCGGCTTTCGATACGTCGACCCACTTAAACTGTAACTGGGGCAGGGCGGCTTCCTCGTGACAAAGCGACTTGAGGGAATATCATTTCTTTCAACGAGCGCAAACGATATGCAGGTCGGTAATGATGTATTGTAAAATTTTCTTTTTCTCGAAATCCTTATTTCGCAGGAAACGACTCACTTCACTTCGCGGTAAGCAAGTAAGAAAATAATTAGTCAGAAAAATGCTTCGCGCGATCGTTATCGATCTCCCTCGACATTTTCGCCGAGGTAAAAGAGAGAAATTAGCTGAGGAGATAACGCCGAGAGAAGAAAGAACAATTTCGAAATTGCAGATTGAGAGAACCGCGCCGTGCGACGGATATCATTTCCATGCGTCGCGCTCCAGGTGTAAATAACCGTTACCGTTCCATTACGCCAGACGTCTCGTATCGTTACCCGGCTGTTTGTAACGTGTCTTCCACCCCCGTGTTCGCATTTTTCCCTCCGCCGTTTTCTCGAACTTTCCACTCTTCGGGAATTTCCGCCCGTTTATTCCGAGACTTCGCGACTCTCCTCGCTCCCATCCTCTGACCGGCTCAAATTTCTGGCAAGGGAGCGAAATGAAAAGGGATGTCGGCGAACACTGCGGCCATTCTTTAGGGACGCAACCCTTCCCCTGCCGTCTCTTGGTATTTCGAGATTGTTCCGCGTTCTCCCCTCCGTTTGTCTATCACGACGGCTGGATTTACTCGCGAGTCAAAGCGAATTATAGATTACTCTCCGTCCGTTAGTATTATAAAATTCGGCCCACGACTTCGTCTCGTTTCACTGAGCATCCCCAGTCGAAATTTTACCCCTTAATATTGCTTCTACATTAAATCTTCAAGTGGAAAAGAACTCTCCATTTATGGTATCAATGCAGCGCTAATCATACTTTTTTGATGCTATAATAAAGAGAGAATTTAGACCCCTCCCGGGGGGAAATTTTAAATTCTACATTAAATAGAGAAAACGGAAATAACTTTTCATTTGCAGCATCAAAGGGAGTATAATTGGAGACCTTTGAAGATTTAATGTAGAATGGACTTGGTATAGAGTCGAAATTTCGACCCGGAATGCTCAGTGAGGATCTGATTGGTATATACTTTTGAATGCGAAAGTATAGACAAATCAGCTGAAGAAGAAACGAACGAAAATCGGGGCGAATATCCGTAACATTTGCTTTCGATGTTCGCTCGCTGTTTGTTCGCTCAGTATATACTCAGCTTAAGATGTTGCAAACACGATACGCCAGTCGTAATCACGATGCTGCGGCAGAAGATCGCTCGTCTATATTACGGGACGATTAAGCCTGATTAAGAAACAAGGCCGCGCTCTTCGCCGGGAGTTTCGTCTTTGCCCTTCAGGGTGTTCCGAACGGTGGGTGTAGCGAAAGGTTATGGGCGAAATTCCCGGCGATTTCTCTCTCTCTCTCTCTCAAGTTGCGAATCTTCGTCAGTGGGCGAAGTGGAATCGAATCGCACGACGACCGGAGGCAAGGTAGAGCAGCGACGGATTAATTAGAACTGGCCGATCCTTTTCCTTAACCTTTTCATGTTACGTTCGTCCAGGTGAGTCGTCTGCGCCTTTAATATCCTCCGCGCGAAATGAGGGGAAAGGGATGGAATGGCCACTGATGAAAAGCGCCCGACGACTGTCCTCGACTCCCGCGCACACACACACACACACATCTCCTCATATCTCCGTACACGTTTTCTCCCTCCGACGCGGTACATTTGAACAAACATGGCCGGCACAAAGTTCTGTTTGCGCAAATGTAAATTTCGCGTTCGCGATCGTCGTAAAATAAAAGGAAGACGCTGGAGGACGAAATAAGAATGGGTAAGATTGTTCGTTTTACGGCGCGCGCCAGCTGCGACTCGACCGTTAATGCCTTGTAAAGTACGCCGCGAAGAACGTTAGAAAATGCTGCGCCCGGGGCAAGTTTGTTCCCTAATAATGGCTTTCGAACCAAGATCTTGCATTTTTTTTCCGTCATAATTGTGTAGTTCCCGTCGAAAGTTAAGAATAACATGCGACGAAGCTCGATAGAGATCGCAATTGTGCGATATAGCGAGAACAATGAGTCCGTTAAACGAACGAAAAGAGAGCAGCTCACCGTTTCCCGTCGCTATGATGTTCCCTAGCTGCCAAAATTTGCTCAGAGTCTTGCCGCTCTCTTCTGGCGTAACCGATCCTGATGCACCGGCTTCCGGCTGCGTCGTTACAATCTGCAACGCAAATGATATTTCACCTCACCGAACAGGCCGCCTTGATAAAATATTAATGTATCCTAACGTATTATACAATATTATATAAAATTAATCATATTATATCAATTAATGTCCGCTACTGTTTTTAGGAACATTTAATAATCCGTGTACTTCACATTAATCATTTTAATAATTACAGAACATTCACGCATGCGAGTATAAAATACTTATTACAATAAACACCAGTAGTTAATTTATTATTATGCCGATCATATTTGCCACGCCTCGCACTATGATCGGATATACAGGATGTGAACTCGCGGGACAGTGTTGAAAAATAAGTGAGCAAATTTTGGAAAACACTAGTATTGTAAAAATTATAAAAGGTTATAAATTTTAAGATAAAATATTTAAATTTACTATCAGAAACGCTATTACTTTGAAGACATATTCATCAATGCGGAATGAAAACGCGAGTTCGTGAAACAACGAATGCCAATACCGATAGAACGAAACAGTATTTAAACGTGACACGTCGGCAGACATATTAATTAGTTAACGTTCGATCCAACATCTTCCGCGGGTTGCAGTAACATTCGCGAATTCCGCCGTGTGATTACACGTTGAGAAATGTCGGATGGTCTGCGACGAAATATTTTCCGTCGCGAACTCGCCGAGCGCTAAAATTGAAGGTAAACACGCAACATTTCGGGTTACGTTTCATTAGAGCGCTTCATTGCGTTACTTTGCAAGAATTATCGCCGTGGGGCTCGACTCCGAGCGAGATTTTAATCAAGAGCCACCGCGGGGGTGGCAAGAGAGACCGGATTCTTTTATGCAAAACGCGCGAGAAATGAATTTGCGACCGGCTGCGGCCGTCGCGCTACTGTTTCGAAGATTTTCATCTTCGGACTCTCACCGACTGGAAATTGTCATCAGGTATATCTGATATTGCGCAAGGTCCTAACTACAGGGGAGAGTAACGTGATTTTACCTACGCTAATCATGCACTGATAAAAATTGAACAAGATCGACTTTTGTATATTGATTAGGAACATATTAGGCCCGTAGTATTATGCTGATATATTATTTTATAAAGATCCTTTGTAGAATTTTGCTCATCTGGTATACACGACAATCAAGTTAACCCAACCTGGAGTAAATTTCTAGTCGGGCCGCGCGAAATCAGAGCGGCCAATTAGCTCGCCGAACCGTGCGTCATGTTTACCGAAAGAACTTTCCCGACGACGCACGATATCCAGCTGCGGCAAATTTAATAGACCGAGAACGCAATAAATTCTGATATATTTAACGTTCGGTGCGGACAATCGATTACATTCTGTTTTCCTCGAAGAAGACCGAGGAAAGAGTTCCGTTCCACGGTAAGACTCCTAAGTGTATCGTGGAGCAAAGCTGAAGTATACCGTATGGAACTGTAAAATCCAATTTTCTTCCCTCCACCAAAAACACAAAGGAACGCTAGCCAGCACCGCGAACTTTCTCCGGACTTTGATCGCCACGGTGACCTTTTAGGGGGCGACGGTAAATATTCTCGCAGATACAACCGTACCGAAAGCCAATCTCGTAATCGAGATGTAAATTGCGCCGCATCTGGCCAATTTCCCTCTTCCTTCGATCGTGCTTCGCTCTTACTCTACATGCACGTCGAGCCAGGCATAATGTTGGAACGGCTCCAGCGTTCGGGAACAGCCGGCGGATGCCCTCGTGATTTGATCCAGCTAGCTGATGGAACGCGGCTACTCGAATATACGCACACATCGGGAATATTAAATGCATGGCGGACCGCGATCTATCCGTCCTTCCTTCCTTCCTTCCTTCCTTCCTTCCTGCCTGCTTGCTTGCTTGCGCGCGTCATTTCGTGGATCAGCGCGGCTTTAGTACATAGAATCTCTTCCGTTCCTTCTGCCTAGCATGTGACATAAGTCGTCGCGGTATATTCCGTATTTTCTCATATACAGAGTGCGTCCTTGGATCTCGCGATTTGAATTTTATCGAGATCTTTCTTATTCAATCAGTAGATGATCAGGCTTACCTAGTCAGTGCAATATCAGGTATACCCGATGAGAATTTCTAGTCGGGTGCGTCATTTGCCATGGCGTCGTTAATTAATTCACGAGCAAGCACGCACGAAACGCGAACGTAGCCGCGCTGAAACTCGCGTCTCAACATTTGCACACTCGACGAACGTAGCTGTCGAACAACCGCCGCATTGCCGATAACGCGTGTCGTATTTGCAAACGTTATGACGCGAGTAAACCGGAGTTCGAGTGTCATTTCAGCGTGTTGGCTGCAGTCGTCGCCACAGCTGAATTTAATCGGCGACGATATATATCCCCTCTCAATTCTACCGACCGAGAAATGGAACGCGCTTGGACCGAACTTCCGTAAATTACAACAATCATCCCCGACCGCGAATATTATCGGCCCCTTCGTGACAAATAATCCGGAGAAGACCGTTTTCTCGCATGGAACATTGACGCGATAACCCTTCTTCATGCGCGCGTTTCCAGAAATTCATTTCCGCCCTGTATGCTCGAAACGTGGAAAAAGAGATTTCCCGGGCGCTTCCATGCAAATTTCCAGGCTGCGAGCTCTTTTAGATGCGGTACGGATTTATTTATTGTGCGCTCTTCTCGTACATAGAATTTCCTACTTATACAGGATAGCTTAAAAGTCCGGCCAATTATCTCCGAAATAATTAGTTTAATGAGAAAATGTTTGAAGACAAAAGTTGAAAAAATTCTGATCGTACGACCTGACGGCTAAATGGAATTTACGACATCGGGAAAAGTCTAATCGCATGATAGATGAAAATGGCGATGCAACCGTGTTTGCGTAGACACTCGCGGAAATTGTCGACCGACTTATCAGCTACCACCACGGCCATGATAGATAACCGTATTGAGCTCAGAGCGCGCGAAAGGAAAATCCGCGGTGGGAAAGAGAGCGTGGCGAATGAAAAAGGCCGCGTTACCCGTACTGTCGGGAATTAAATTTCACCGTCGTGGCCGGCCGACGCGCTCAAATTAGAGTTAATTAAGCATACATTCATTTCACCCACGAAAATCGCGCTAATGCCGTCGGAAAACAAAGACGAGCGCGCGTTTCGTCAGAGATGCTCTTTATTTTGTTTGTCAATCGTACATTAATTGGGAAATTATCGATGACTGAGTAGTTTCAAATTACGCATCTTGTCGAAAACTTGTCAAATCACGTACATAGAGCTCATCCAATGAAACAGACATAATTAATCACCTTCGTCACATAGCGTCCATACATGGAACATTTATTTCTTCGTAGTTTTCTATATTCTTACGTATTTCATAGTTGGTTTGTGTAACATATATTATTATTATTATGTTTCCAAGGTTTGTATGTATGTATGAATAACATAATTATATAATTATTTTTCCGTCTTTTGAAAGTCAATTTAGGTTTCAACTTAATGCTAAGAGCGAGACTTTTTCGTTAAGAAGTAACAAAAATTTCTTCGATATTGGATCTGCCATTTTATATTTTCAAAATCTGACTACAGATTTGAAATCAGAAACCTAAAGAACTTTTACTTATATTGAATCCGCTATTTTAATTTTTTTTTAATTCCGACTTCAAATCAGCAACCCCAAAAAGCCCTATATACGAGTATCAAACTTCAGCAAAATATGTTCAACAGAAAAGTTTATACGATAAAGGGTTAAAAAAGCTTTTTTATTATATACCGTTATAACGCATAAAAATAATTGGGCTCAACACTTTCAGAACAGTTTCCCTGATGGGAATTTCATAAAAGTCTAGCAGTTACATCACCCTACGTTGTTTTATAGCATACAGGTGAAATAAAGTCCGCGTAAAAAGCACATCGATAAGATACGACGCGTGAGAGTGACATTACGACGCGGCTTTTTTACGGTTGGGTCGATAAGATCGGTCGGAATACGGAGGTTGTAAAGGTGCGATAAGGCTGAAAGTAACCATGGGATAAATGATAAAGGGATATAAACGAGCCTAATATACGCTGTATTTTCCGCGCACGCGGCTCGATCGCGTGACAGATGATGGCCGAATTCGGCTGAAAAACCAAGTCCGACATACGCACGCGGCGGGCTGCTCTCTCCTGATTTATCGGAAATCTTTTCGACGTATTCAAAGAACTCGACTGCCAAATGGCTTCCTCTGCTCCGATAAGACGTCCGGGAAATACCACAACTCGTCGAGGATGTATGAAGACGGCGCGCTTTTATTAAGCGAGCGTGCACAAAAAGAAAAGAGCCGCCTCTCATCTTCGAATCGTGGTCGATTTACGTCCACCTAATTTCTCTTCTCTCTCTTTGCCCCCTGCTCGCCAGAGTATTTTTGGCATTGGAACGGGATTGACTGCGGACTTCTTTAAAATTACGAATCGCAAAATCGGGAGCGGCGCTATTCGCCTTAATTGCTATGAAGGTTTTGGCGGTAACGGTCGAAGTTCTCAAGACAGTAATCGCGAAAGTTTTCTTTTCTCCTCCCCCCCTCTCTCTCTCTCTCTCTCTTTCACTGGCGAGAAAGCTTCTATCGTTATTTTTACGCGGAGTCCTGCCATTAAATGCTCTACTGCGTATAATAGCACAATGTTTTCTAACTCGGGCATTTTTCTCGGCGTTGCGGTTCCACCGCCGAGCGAACCGAGTTACTGACCGGCGCGGCGAACTGAAATGTCGTTTTTTTCAAACGATCAACTGTGCAAATAAATAATGCAGACGGTATTTTATCGCGGACGTTAAATAGTAATGTCTACCATCGTTGCGTGATATTTTAGCGGTGGAGAAATAGAGATGGATCAAAAAATCATGTTCTTCAATTTCCCGTTCGTCGGTGACGAGAAATGCAGGAAAATTCGCGAAGACTGTGCGAAACTGAGTATACAATTCGCGGAACATTAACTCGGCGCATTACTTGTGAATAAGTATCCGCGTCGTAAATCTTCCGCGACTTCTCCGTCCGGAGGTCTTATTTACAGC